CATCAAAACAACCTTGTTTGATGGATTTTTGAGGCGCATCTTTTATTCTATATTTTAAAATTGCAACCTTATATATACTTTTTCCCTTAAGTTTTGATATTCCAAAATTGCTCATAAGATGAAATTATTTAATATTCATAATTTAATTTATAATATGGGAGTAATATGCAAATTAAAATTACTTACAACATATTTGCTTTATATAACAATGAATTTTGTTTTAGAGAATTTTTACCTGATGTATATAACTGTAGTTTTTTTTTAAATATTAGAAAATACTATAAATGTAAATTGACAAAGTTAAATATGCTTTTTTATTTTATAATGTAATGGTTTCATAGAGCTGCAGTTCTATCCAAATAAGGAAACCCTCACTTTATAATGCATCAAAAATTACAATTTAAGCATAAAAAAACCATTAAATTGATCATCTCAGCTTGAACATTATGGCCGTGAAAAAAATTGGGATTTCAAATTCCGAAAAATAGTGTATATCGCAACAAATCACCGAGACCATCCATTTTGCCCTAAAAATAAGTATTCATAGATCGACAAGATCTGTAGTATTTATGCTTTTGAAACTTCTATTGTTGGTGTTAGAAATTGATGTTAGAGCCATCATGGAGATTTTCAATATCGATAGTGCATTTCGGAATGAGGATTTAAGGTGAGGCTTTTTTGTTTCCATTAAGCCTAAGCCATATGGAATCTTCATCCATTATTTTTAGGGGTTGCATATAATGAGACCATTTACGTTTGGTACAAGAAGGTCACAATTACTAATAATTATTTGATGGGAATTTTGATAGCTTGGGTTTGCCACAAAGTTCGTGAAAATTCTTTTTGATATTAGAGCTTGGCTAATGGAATAAATGAAGTCACTCAATATCATATCCAATGGTCAAGATTAATTGTGACCACGTTGTACTGAAGGTGAATGGTCTCACTGAATATTTTTTTTTATATTTATTAAATATTCAAGGACTCAATTATCTTTTTTCAAAAAGATGTTGGTGATTTTTTTAAAAATGGAAAGTAATTATTGTTGTTTTTGCCACATCATGTGCAATAAATACTATACACTATTGGTTTTGGAAATTTGTATAATATGCTCTTACAAAAGTATACTATACTATTACTCTATTACAATTGATAAATATTTTTTAGATTTGATATTTAGAAATTTATTTTTAATGACAAATGAATATTTTTAGTTTAAAAAATTCAATTTTTTATTTTTTTGAAAGTTATATATCTATTTTTAATCGAAATATAATATATCCGAGGAAACGCGAATAGTTTTTTATGAACTTACTATGTAATCAATGCCATACTTTACCATATATATCATCATAACTACATACATGATAAATATAAAAGTTTATCCGAAGCAAGCTCCTAACCTTGAAAGCAATTTCTTGATTGACTACTTGTTCCCAAACCTGCTCGTGTTTTATATATAGAAGATACTTCGAATTTGAATTGAGGAAGTTATGAGATATTTCTTTGTATGTTAGTTTTGGGCTACTACTTGGGTCTTTTAGGTCAATACCACATTTTATTGGGATCTTCTTGGTTTATCATAAATATTTATGATAGATCTAATTAATGTTTTAAAACTCACGATTTTCGATCTATATCGCTGACTTGTGTATCGTAAGCTCTGAGCCTGGACCTTACCCGAACTCCACTTGACCCAAAACCAAACCTTTAATCCAAACCATCATATTATCAAAACTACATTATAATCTGAAGGTGATCCAAATAATTAAACCTTATGGACCGACTCCGGGCGCTAGGCCAAAGGGCCCGGCCTCAGGTATTATTTTCTTTCAGCCAAAGGGCCCGGCCTCAGGTATTATTTTCTTTCATACTTTTATTTTCGCTATTGTCATTTAGAGCTTCATTTAATATGGTTCTTGCATATTTATTAGCTTTCTTTAGTTCATTTATTGCTTTTTTTAATTTTTGTTCTACTCTAAAGTTCTTCACAAAAATTTCTCCCTCATCATTAAATACTTTAAAACCTCTCATAAATTCTAAGGCTAAGGTGTGTGGGAAGCCGTCTTCGTTGGCGGTCCAAGTGGGAGAAGGCCTTGTGGTCCGACTCTTGCCTAGAACATAATTTGACGAGACCCTTTCTCTATTAACTTATTTGACAATTTTGCGCTCGAAACTAACCCTACCCGTATTTTTGAGTATAAACACAAACCTAGATCAAACAATCAGATGCTCACTTGTGACATTATGGTTGAAGGTATTCCAACAATCTATTCAGATCAACAGCTAGGAGACTTTTACAAGGGGAAACTTTTACATGTGGGGTCACTAACATATAAAATACATGTAATTGCAATTCTAACTTGTCCGATCTGAATGAATAGCTCAGATAGCTTTAGTCACATGTGATGTTCAACCCAATTTCATTCTTAATCTTTTTCTACCGATCATATTGACACTAATGTTTGGCGTATGCCCACTTTTTGTAGGGGGTGCACCCAACAAATTTTTTTATAAAAATGACCAATATGTCCCTACAAGTTTTATAGCCGTTATGATCCTTTTCTTATCAAAAATTATTTTTTTCTTTATTTTTATTATAGAAGAGGGGATGTCCCAAATTTCCGCTCAAAATAATCTGTAAGGGAAATTAAAATCAAATGCAATGATCAATCAAATGCCAACATGTGGCATTATAATTGGAACCATCTTAATGAACGGCTATGCATTGTAGTTACCACCCTTGATATAGGATTGCAGCTAACTAAAATTGAAAATAAAGACTCACATATGCAAAATAGCAGTCCATCCAAAATACTATGTTACATGCATCAATAAAACGAAAAAATAAAAAAATTAAATACTATGTTGCATGCATCAATAAAACGAAAAAATAAAAAAATTAAACTTCTCTATGCATAAAAAAAGCAACAAAGGCCTAAGCAAATTCCAATCTCACAATGAATTCCTATCTACCTAAATCTTTAGTATCATTGAATCTCTCTCTTGCTCCTTATAAGTATGCTTTAGGTTTAAAGAAGAAAAAAAAAAAAGATTTTCATTGGGTTACTCTTCTTCTAATTCTTCCTATTATTTTGTTGTATATGATTGATTTGATATCTTATTTTTTAGAGAATACATTGTTTGTATTTATTTGTATACTTTTTTAAAGGGAACTTATCAGTGAAATTTTTCATGAAATATTTTGTTAAATTAAGGTATTTAATTTACTCCCACTATAAAGTGCGTATCTTTCAATCAAAATTCAATAATATTAAGTTAATGAAGAAATAAAGCTATAGGGAAGAGGTTTTTTGAAAAGTTTTTTTTTAAAAAGATAAACCCTAAATTTATACCGATTCCATTAAAAAAGTATGATTTTTTTGAATATCTTTTAAAAAATCGGAGTTCTTAAAGGATTTCAAAAAGTTGTAGATTTTTTGGAAAAATCATCTTTTAAACATAAACTTGCTAACTATGGTCACGAGTATGCGTGTGGTGCCCTGTGTAAACCTTTCCCCTACAATTGCATAAGTTTATATTCCCCTAACAAATGTTTTAACATAAGGATGACTGTTTAATGGGTTGGGGGATACATTTTTATATTTGTGTCCCCTGATGTATAAAGCAGATTTTTTGGAAAAATCATCTTTTAAACATAAACTTGCTAACTATGGTCACGAGTATGCGTGTGGTGCCCTGTGTAAACCTTTCCCCTACAATTGCATAAAATGTTTTAACATAAGGATGACTGTTTAATGGGTTGGGGGATACATTTCTATATTTGTGTCCCCTGAAGTATAAAGCATTCATCTTAAATATGGATGCAAATAAGTGGTCTATCTAAAACAATTTAAAACTAATCGTCCAAATTTTTTTCTAAAATTATTGTTTTTAATTTTTAAAATTTATGTATTTATTCATATTCATGGTCTCCATGTTAGTGATTATATGTCATTAAAGGAAAAATAGTTGGTGAGTCGGCCTACTCACCTAGTTTTGTGCGCTCTCCCTCTTAAATACATCTCAAAAATTTATTTTTGATCCAAAATTTTGGGGTTTGATAATCTCAGACACAACAATGATCTAAATTTAGAATTTATCTTTTTTGAGATAAATAAATATTATTTCTTGAATTTTTTTTCCCACCATCCATTTTAACTTTTAGTTAATGTAACATTGTTTGATTAATAAGAGACCGCATGGTGATAGTTGAATCCGCTGACTCACCAAAATCGTATCCGTCATTAAAAATTAGGTCCAAAAATCCATCTCAAAAATAGATTTTTAAGACACATAAAAACAGTGTCCATACCATAAATATTTTTTTGCTAATGAATGTCGGAAATCATTGATTTTTGGACCCATTTTGCTAGCTTAATCAACGTTGATTTTACAGCAATCATTTTCAATGTTTCATTGTCGCGGAGACCATCTTTCTACCACACCTTTAGAACAGTTCTTTTACCAAATTAGTGACTTTTGGATTAACCTTCACGAAAGTGCCCCCGGTCTATTATTTCTTTATCCTTCGGACTTTCTCTTAACGTTTATAGAGATTGGGAGGCGGGATGGCGTGGTCCACTCGGCCCGGCCCTAAAAACTTGGTCATGGGCTAAAGGTGTGGCGGTCAGGCGGACTAGCCTAGCTGTTTTTTTTTCTTTTGAAGTTAATTTTCTTTTACCTAGCCCAGTTTGGCATGGTTGGGGCCAAGGCCTTCTTGGCCTGTTCAAGGACGGGTCGGGCCTAAGCGAAAGGGCTAGGGTGGGGGCTGGACCCACCCATTATCATTGCCAACCGTACTTCTAAATTCATGACCGCTCTTCCATGTGTTTTCTCCTATAAATATAGATACAATCGGTAGAGTTTCCACAAAAAGTTGAAATTAATATTTTTTCATGATAAGAGGTTATACAAGTCTAAATCCATCTCAAAAATAGATTTTTAAGAGGGGACACATCCTACATACATGATTCCGAGGGATAATAAAAGGGTGCAGCTTGTATAAGGCTGATTGCCTAGCAATCAACCGCCTTCAAATAGTATTAAAAATCATATCATTGTGATGGCCCAAAAATCTATTTTTCTATTTGATTATAAAACAAGAAAAGTAACCACAAAATTAAATGAAGAAAGCTTCAGTAAAGAAGAATACAAAAAGAACTCTCAAAATCTTCATACACATCCCGACACAAGATAGGCCCGGCGCCTGCTCCTCGACAAACAAGAGCAAAGGGCACAGGAACTGTACAAAAAGAAGGAGAACGCGACTCATTGATTAGGGCACGGGAAACGACTTGCTCTTACACATGCACTTATACGCCATGGGGCAAGTCTCGGCCTCCTCCGCGCACACGAAGCTCACCATGACGCGCCTGCAGGGCGTGCACGACCCGCATGCATGCGAGCAGTCGGGCAACCTCGATCCGGCCACCTCCACCGTGTCCGGCCCCCTAGCCCGCTCCCGCTTATAGTTGTAGGCCTCAGTGTGCACCTCCACGTGCCCGTGGTCAACCCCCCGGCGCGCCCCGCCTGCATGCCGGTCCTTGTGTCGCCTCCCCGATGCTAACGGCAAATCGAGAAGAACGAGAAAAAGGATGGCCAAAACCAGGGCAGAGCGCCAACGTCTTTCTCTCACCATTTCTTGTCCTTGCGGTGGTTTATGATTTAGTTTTTTGGGGTGTTTGGTTAGAGAGAGAGTGCGTGCAAATGGGCTTTTGTGGTGGGTTTGGTTCTGGTGTTTGTTTATTTATAGGGTGGTGAAAGAGAGAGAGAGGGGGAAATTGAAGGGGATCACAGGTGGGGCGATGTGAGAGTGGGAAATCACATGAAGAAAGAGGGGTTCACGAAAGTTTTTGGGACTTTTAATTACTGTAGCTCTGTAAGACAGAGTTATGTGGGTGATGTAATGTGACCGCCATTATTAGGTTTTGTAAGAAGGGTAGTGTCAATAAATCCTGGTTATCGTGAAGTACCCTTCCTTGCTGATGCGTGATGTGCTGATTGTTGGAGCACACAGGGTTATGACTTTAATACATGCGATGCCCGGCATTTCTTAAGTTTCACACATTTATTGTGATGTTTGGACTTTGGAGGGAAACCAAACTTTTGAAGTTCTCTTTGAAAATGGGAAAGCATGCAATGACAATATGAGATTGTTTACCTTTTTGGGCCAGGAGTTACAATCAACCAAAGCTAGGGATGGCCAGGCCTTAAAAAACTAGGGCCTAGCCACAAAATGTGGCTTGAGGGCCGGGCTAGGGTTAAGCAAGCTGGAGGAAGGCTGTCCCCACCCTCTTTTATTTTTTATTTTTTCTTTTCTTTTGGTTTCTTCTGAATTTATTTGGCCCAGCCAGGCCTTTGATAGGGCTGGGGCTCAGGCTCGGGCTTGGGCCAAGGCCTTTTTGGCCCTGCCAGGGCCGGGCCTACACCTCGAATTGGAGTTTAACAACTTGGATCGGCCACAGTTGGAGTGTTTTGAACACAGAATAAAATGCCTCTAATGATACAAAAAATAAGTGTTTTAAAACCTAGATAGTCTGGATGAACTTGTCGCCCTGGAAACCGGCATGGATAAGCAAATCACTGATTTGGATCACTTATTCAACCAATTCTTCAATGTGAGAATTAATCCATAAAGGTTTAAAAAAATAAGAAAAGAGAAAAGTAATAAAAAGTATAATATCGGAACTGGGCGATCTAGATCTGACCGATGCAGATTGCCTAATTCCCTAAAGGAATCGACAATCCACCACCGAGTTGGACCAGTTCCTAATACTTTCCAGTTCATGCCGGATCCGGATTAACAATTTTTCAACTTTGATTGGGGGTTTTGAATCGCCACAAAAATTATTGAAAACCAAGAGAGGAATTAGTAAAATGATGAATTGGGCCTGAAAATGGGAAAATTTAGTCAAAATGTTTACCTCTTATCCATAAATCTTTTACCCATATTTGAGAGAATTAAAAAAAATGAAGCAACCCTCTTAAATTTCAGAAAGAATTATTGAGAAATGAGAATGATATAAGGGCCGTTTGGTTCCTTGGAAATGGCATTCTAAGGAAATGTATATCCTAAATTGGTATCTCTTAGAATTGGCATTTCATGAAAGATAGGTGCATGTTATTTGGACAACATTTGGCAAAGACTTGGAAGATGTATCTTAAGGAAATTCAAGAAATTTCATTGTATCATTATTTTTTTAAAAAATAACCATTTTCAATGTTGTGATTATTGTACTTGAGAATCATTTAGGTCATTATTTTAAGTGTTTATCTAAGCGAGGAATAAATTGTGACATTTCAAAATTGCCGAGTTTATAATATTATAGTATTTTTATATTATACTAATAGTATTTAAATAATAATGTAGTATTATTTTATTAGAACTAATATGATATTATAGTATTAGTATATTATAATATCATATTAGTTATTTGCCCTTAAAAGCAGTCATCGAGATCTCTGAACAGAACGTCATAATAACGCTTCCCCATTATTGCAGTCTAGGCAAGCTTACTAAACACCAAAGTTGTCTGTAGATAAAGAGAAAAAGTGGCACGCTTTTGTATTTTTAGCGAGAAAAAGTCATAAATTGTTGGGAAAGAGAAAATCAAGTAAAAAAGTTATGAAAAAATGGAGTAAAAAAATCTCTATTAAAGAGTGAATGGTGGTCTTAAGGTGGCGGTTCATCTGAACAATTAATATTGTTCACATGAAATGTGACTGTTGGGTTTCTAATAATCACCATCTAATGCATCTAATGGTTATCCACCATTAGATGTGCCAACAAGCACCTTTGTCTCAATGGCTAGACACTAGCTATTGGATCTCACATGTATCACGCTTGCACCCCTTCGTGCACACGTACGGGCACGAGTCGTGTAGTGAAAATTTTGACCGAGCCTCGAGCCCGACCTGTACATGTGCGAAGGGCACATCGTGCCCTCGCACAATGCGCATACATGTTTAGCACTTCTCGCGTGTTCCACACATGCACCCACACTCACACTGTTTGTTTTATGAATAAAAGGCATACCTATACAAAAAACACTCTTTTTACACTTCACTCTTCAATGTGAGACTAAAACCCCCCACTTTCTCTCTCTATTTATTTAAAACTTAAAAAATAATATTAATATTATTTTTGAAATACCCCATTGTATTTTACAATACCAAAATCCCTAACAGCTTCTCCTCTGTATTTCTCCCCTTAGTTTTCTCTTCCCTCCCTTTTGCTTTGTTCCCATCTCTGTGCGGTCATCTTTTACCTATTCTTAGCCTCATACTCTACATCTCTCTTTCCTTTTGAGCTTTTAAGTGTTCCCTTCTGTTTGACTCTCTTCACCCTGAAGCATGTTCACACCTAAGATGAGATTATCTTCTTATTGAGCCTCGATATTCTGTCCTCAATACCTCTTGGGCCTCGAGGTCTGTTTCGAGGACTTTGAAGACCTGTGTTTCTAGCGACTTAGCGTATTCCATTTTTTCCTCTATTTTTTTGCTAATGTGACTTTGGAGCTTTGCTCCTTTATCCTATGAATTTTACTTTTAACGATGAAAGAATTTGTAAAAAAGTGATCTCCCGCCTACCAAAATTCTGCCAAAAGTTCAATATGTGGGGTTTGTATCAAGTGTCAACCATTTTTTTCTTTTTTTTTAACATTATAACATTGAACTAAGGCTCACTTCATAACTATGCAGTAAGATGTAGTTTTGGTGTCATAATGCTTTGCGATAGCATGAAAATATATAGTTAAACCTAGTTACAAAATTTAGATTTCCTAAAATAATACAGATCAAGCAAATCTATAAATACTTAATTTTTTTTGAAAATGGACAATCTAGATAATGTGTTGCAAGATATAATATTTTCATGTCTTGAAATTTTTTTCTCTATCTATACATTTCGAGGTTGAGATGATCAATTTGAGGATTTTGGAGGACCAGGGCAACTTTTTTTGATGGATTTTTGAGTTGCGCCTTACCTTTTTTTTTTTTGACAAGCATATGATATCTTATTTGATAAATTGTTCAAATACAAGGACCATTAGATGCTTACAAAAGAGATTGAGAAAGAACAAAAGAGTCAAGAGCAGCTCTTTTATTTGTTAAGTCATTAGCAATGACATTAGCCTCACGATAAATATGGTGAAAACTCACAATGCCATCTAGTGAAAGCTCTAAAACTTGCAACCACATAGATTAAGGCGGCACAAGGGTATGGATAATCTATTGCACCAATTGATAACATTCGCAGAATCACCTACAACAATCAAAGAGTTTCCCAACCGTTTTTCCCTCCCAATAATCAACCATTGAAGAAGCGCAACCAATTCAACATGATTAGCAGTCTCCATGCCACATGGGCCAACAAAACAGGAAAAAAAACACCCCCACCATCTCGACACGCACCCCCAATCCCAGCCTTGCATGGATTTCCAAATGATGAACCATCAAAATTTAGTTTCAAGTATCATTTTTGTTTATACTCGAAAATTTCGGTAAAATAACAATTCCGCTTGGTTTTTGGGCCTAAACTTGTCAAAAAGGGACTGCTAGAGAATGGATCTTGTCAAATTGCACTCAAGCTGAAAGTCAGGTCAAAAGACCCTATTTCGCTCACTGGTAGTGCCGGCTCTTTGAACTGCCAAGCCTGAAACCAGTTCAGAGGTTTTCTATCAATAATGAATAATCATTAGGTGTTAGCCCTCGCATTATGATATTTGACTGGAAGCGGGTGCTTTAACCAATCAGAGAGTAGCAAAGTTGCCCCCTTCGCCGACGTTGTTTGCTTTTGCGTTTCAGACAATGATTGTTTTCCCTCATTCTGATGTCGGGCGATTAAACCGCCTTTTTTGTCTAATCAAATTTTGTCTGGGGCAGGCGTCAGTAGAACTTGTGCTGTTGATGATGGAAGTTTCGTCGCGCCCAGAATTGCCTCAAAACGGAATTGGAATCTTTGTTGGCTCTCCTTTCTTACAATCACTTGTCTTAGTCCTGAGTTTATCATTTCAGGACTTCTTTTCTTTCCTTTGGAGGTTCTTTGAGAATGTCTGACTGAACTTTGTGTTATGCCTGTGGTTTGAGTAGTGAGGTATGATTTTGGGATGGTTGTCATGGGAGGTTTTAAGTTTACATACGGTTTTCTCAAATGGGTTTGGGGTGGGTGTCTACACTTCTATGCGCGACATCCATGCACATCTTGGTCTAACTTTAGCAAAATTTAAAGAAACCAAATGAGCCAAATTATGGTTGGATATCCACTCTAGAGACCCCTATACTTCCTTTGTAATAACAAACCAGCTCCATGCATGAAAAGGAATTCTACTTTTCAACACTTCCTGCTCCGTGATCACCCCATCAAACGTACACGTATTTTGTTCAATCCACAGCTCCCAGATAATCGCTGCCCGAAAAATATCCAACAACATATTTCCCACCTTTGGAGTACCACAAAGTTTAAATTGAAAAACTAGGTAAAACACTGGTGATGGGAGAACTAAGTAAGAACCTACCTTTTGCGTATCCCAACACCACAAATAGTAAAGATATGGATAGTGGAGAACGAGGTGATCACTAGTTTTTTCATCATTTTTACAAAAAGACACATTCACAATCAATTTGACCCTTTTTATAATACTATCAACAGTTAAAATCAGTGGTTTAAAAAATGGATCGGTGGCTTGGATCGGGCACCTCAAAGATC